TACATATACACAATGGAATATTACTTAGCAATCAAAAAAGATAAACTCATGCAATTTGCAGTAACATGGATAGAGCTAGAAGGGATCATGCTCAGTGAAATAAGCCAGAAAGAAAAAGAAAAATACCGGATGGTCTCACTCAAAGCAGGAATTTAGAACACCTAAATAAGGGACCAGGAAAAAGACTATAATAAAGTAAAAATCAAAATCAACAAGCAACTATAAGCCAGAGACACACTACGGGGGCTGGGGCAGGGAGAGGAAGAATGAAGGTCAAAATAAGGGTGGGTTCAATTGTATGGGGAATATAACCAAAATGAAAATGCATACATTGTACAAAAATGAAAAATAATGTAAGAATTATATAAAATGAAATATAAAAAAAAGGAAAAAAAAATAAAATGTAGCCCTCACCATCTTGATTAAGGCTTCAAAATTTACTGGAGATTTTGTATAATGTTTAGGATCACAAAAGTAGACTCGGCAAAGAAATGAGTTGACAGTAGGGGTGAAGTAGAAAAAAAAATCAGTGGTCATTATGCAGTAACTTAAATCTTCTAGATGCACTAACTAGTTTTTTTCCAAAGTTCAAAGAGCTTTCTTCTGAAGAAATATTATTTTGAGTCCCTGAGGGTCACAGCTCTCAGACTGAAAGTATTTTCTGATGTTCCTACTTTTCTCACCACTTCTATTAGTAAAGAGAATATCTTAAGGATATCTGTCCCCTCTTTGTAATCCAAATAGAAGGAAACCCAAGTTGTATCCAAATATTTGCATATTTTCCTCTGAGCTGTTCTTTGTCCTATTCTCCTCTATGGTCTTTCCTATCTCCTTTTTCCAGTAGCCTCTCAAGTCATCTGTAATTTTTATTTCCCCTCAGTTACAGTACAATTATATTCACCCTCAATTTGCAGATTAAATCACCAAATCAGAGTGCAATGAGGATTGCCCAAGGCTATACAATAAATCTGGTCCCAAAAGGGGGTAGCCATGGAGTTTCACAATGTCAATTGGTCACTGGTCACTGAACCACGCTGCAGCCACACAAAGGGAGCTGCATCCACAGCATTCTGTTGGCAAGGTTGCTGAGCTCGCATTCATTATTGGAATCACTTTGTTTCCTATAAGACCCAGCATTTTCCTTCTGCAGGTCAGCAGGCCTGTGGGCTTCTCCTCAGCCCCTGCCTGTGTGCTTTGACTTTGAAATCTGGGAGATGTGCTTTAGAGAAGCCTTAAGATGTTGTGTGAACCAGAAAAGTCAACACTGATTGCATGTACATAGCTTCCATCAGCAAAGCCAGAGTTGGAGACAGCATTGATTAGTTGTGATTAATGAATCTATATCATGGAGGTGCTTTTATTTCTGGTTGGGAATAACAATGACTGCTATTCATTTCAGAGGAATTTAGCTGTACTTGGGTTGTAAAGGAGAAATGGGGTACTATTAAAGAGCAGTTTTCCCTTCCTAAATCTTCTCTCATCAGATCAGTGAGATCTGGTAATGGTTTATATAAATCAGTCAAGCCATGGAGACTAGAGAAATCTTGTTTCAGAACTTCACATGCTGTACTCAACCCAAATTAGTACTATGGGTGTTGGCTTCTTGATAGGTTCTTTACTATTTTTCAAAAAGTTCATACAGAAAACAAGGTAAATACATACGTTGTCGGGGGAGAGGGGTTGAAACGAATGTTTTGGGCTGACTGTTAGGCTGTAGTAGCAGGTCTATTACCTGATTGGTAACAGACCCATCTTTGGAGAGTGACTAGGCCTCTGTCATCAAGGGCACGTGCAATTTTAGTGAAGGAATTAGACTTGTGGGCTGATTGTGTAGCAAGAAGCTCAGACTTACAAACAAGTGTGAACAGCTGCTTGCTAAGCGAGGTGGCACTGGAACATGCTAAACACAGCTGCTCAGAAGTGGGAAGCTAGTTTTGCCTGAGGTTTCAAAGGTTATTCTTCTTTATTTTTTCCCGTGTCTATAGAGTAGAAACTGTAGATTCACTTTAATTAGAATTTTCCTAGAATCCTTAAATGATTGTACTATCTTTAAATCTGCCAATAAGAAATGTCTGCCACCCTACACCGTGTGTATAATGTAGAGGAAGCAGAAGGGGATTCAGGCCTTCACAGGTGGGCTATGATGGAAGTGAGCCAGCTAAGACTGACAGGAAATGCCCCCTCCATGACAGTGATTTTGCAACATTTAGGAAGATGCCACCATCAGAAACCGTCATTACCTACTATCTTTCTCACCTCTCTAGAACATGAGCATTTGTCCGCCATGACCAGCCAAGCCCAGGGGGATACTACTGATATTGATCTATTCCTGGGTAGTCTTTCTTGCCTTTTTAATGGATTAAAGCACACTAAAAATGCATTTTTAATTAAAGCACATTAAATGCATTTTTTAAATCACAACCTTAAAGGCTCAAAGATACAAACCTCAAAATTTCACAAAACAATACTTACACTCACTATTTTCAGTGTACTCTGGCCTTCTCTGTCTGGTCTTTCTCAAAATTCTGGTTGTGGGGCCTCCCCTGTGGCGCGGCGGTTGAGCGCTGGGCTGCAAACAAAGCTGCCCGCAGCCTCTGCAGCACTGGTTCGATCCCTGACCGCCGGAGTGGGTCCCACATGGCGCACAGACCTCTCCTGCTGCACCTGCTGCTCCCCTCAGCAGTGTATTTCGTTGGTCTGCCTGTTCTGTTCCCCGCTCTGTCTCTGGTGAATTCTCTCACCCTCCCATGCTTCTGACTGTACCCAGTGCTTGTATAAATAAATAAATAAATCTTAAAAAAAAAAATTCTGGTTGTGGCTTCCGAAGTGGTGCAGTTTTAACATGGATGCGCCCGGGTATAACATTTTACCTGTGCTGATTATCTCTGGATAAAGTCTTGTTGGGGCTTGGCTCTAATCTCCTACAATCCTTGGGCTTTCCAAATGGTTATCACCCTAACCTGAAACAGTCCTAGGGGATGGAAAATGCAGTTGGATACAAAAGGTCTGAAGTTGAGAAAGAGGTCCCAGAGCCAGGGCTTTGTCTACACTGCAGGGCTGGCAGCATGTGTGTAACTGACTTCATATGGGGCAAAGGACAGGGAATTTGAGGGTAAAATCTTGGACACCAAAGCAGGGACTCTGCCCTGGGGCTCGTGATGAGGACTCTGCTATGTACCCAGCCTGGCATGCTGGAGCCTGCCTTGTCCTTTCCTAGCCAATTTGTTGAAAGCTCAGGAGACCACATGTCCACTCTCAGAGACCCCACTTATCCAGGCAAAAGAATGTGTCTTACTTGTGGCAAGCACTGGGGACAGAATCCTTGAGGAAGAGAGGTGCTCTCTTCTCAAAGAAAAGGGTGGACATGGGCCAGGCACTAGTGGCATGGGCCTCATCTGAGGTGGCATCTGACTGGCCATCCTGACTCATAGTTCTTCCCAAATGATCGGTTGTTTGAGTGAAAGGTGGTCCCACTCCAAGCTTGGTTCTTTGCACCAACATTCAGAGGCTGCCTACAAGGGGTCAGGCACTAACCTGGATGTAGAGGGCAGGAGATCTACAACAGAGTGCCTTGCATCAAGGAGTACATTGTAATTGAGGGAGGCAGGTAAATAGAAAGTCTCAGTACCAGAAGATGTGTAGAGAAAGATACTGTGGCAATGCAGATAAAAAGCATCTTTGGTGGGGAGTTGGCCCAAAACAGGCTGCCCTAGAGAAAGATGCTTATAGAACTGAGGATTAGGAGGCCTTGCCAGGCCACAGGACTGCTGGTGCAAAGGCTGGTGTGTATGAAATAGCAAGTGTATTTGAACTTTCAGTTTAATAATTTGGTGTTGTAAACTAGTGGAGAGACTGGAAGGGGTGCAAAGGGCTCAATCAGTTACCTGGCTAGATCTGAGTTTTAGAAAGTCACTGATTGGAGAGTAAAGGATGGGTCAGATCATTTAGTCTGCTCATGTTCTTGGAGAGAGTGATGATGACAGGAAGGGATGAAGAAAGAGTTAGAATAAGCAATTCACAGGATTAACTAATCGGATATGAAAATGGAGGAAAAGGGGGTTTTTCTGATTTGTCATAGATGCATGAAGTGTAGTCCAACCCAAAGAGAAAGTGGAAAAGAGTAGAATGGATTATAAATGGCAGTTGAGTACCCCCTTGTGCCTGATGATTACCTACTTCTGTCTATCTGTATATACCCATGTATATTCCCATTCAATCTGTATAAAAAGTAGTGGTGTCCTGATTTGTTTCAGATTTCTAAGTTAGAGGTATTAAATCAGTGCAATAAATAGTGCGTGGCTGAGCCAACACTGGAGGTGAAATTGACCACACAGAGCACTTGTTGGCTCTGTCCTATTGCTTCCCAGTTTTAAACATGCTAACTTTGCGGTATCGGTTTAGTTTCCAAATGAAAAAATACAGAGAGAGGATGAGTGTATAGATTTGGGACTCACAAAGGTCATTTTGAGTAGAGAGAGTTTAGAATACACTTTTGAGAAGCATATTGCAACTCCTTCATTATGAGCCTTGCTTAAAAAGAAAAAAAACCTTAATCTTAGTCCTGCCTTGTCTTGGAAAAGTGTAAGATTTTTACTGTTATGAACTTTCTATCCATTCAGTTTTTACCTTGAACTATTTAGCTACTTTCGTCCTGTGTTTCAAGTCAGAGTACTCATAGACTTACCCATTGGAGAAATTTGCCCTTTAAGATCTAAGATCATATTCATTGGGGAGGGTTTTTTCTTTTTTTAAAAAAGGTTGAGAAAAGGAGGGTCTCTGTATGGTGATGGGGGACAGAGTACAGAGTGGTTCTTTCCCTTTTCCTGTATTGCCCTAAAAACCAAAATAGCTGCCTGCCTCTGCTACATGTGGGACTTGTCACCTTTTGTCCAAATCAGTCAGGTTACCTGTAGTTTTTGAGCACTTAAAAGCACTGTTTTTCTTTCTGGTAATTCAGTAACTCATTCACCTGTTACCTTTTCTCTTCTTGACTCAAACAGGTTGCACTTAACCCGCACCAAAAGAACACCACGAAACAGCTATGTGAGACCAATCAGGAAACCTAAGGAAGCCTTTGTGGAAAGTCTCAATGTGCCAGTGTCACCTTTGGCAAGCTCAGAAAAAATGGTATTACAAGAGAATATCTTGTGAAATATAAGTTCCTTTTGCATTTGGCCAACGTGGATTAAGATGTACAGCTATTGTATAAAACTCAAAGTTCTATGGTATCGAAGAAGCAAGCGCCTTTTTAAAACTGGTCCTAAGTAACTGGTCCTAAGTAAAGAAAGACCTGAATGGATTTCAGGATGTTTGTTAGTTGCAGAAGAGTCAGGAGGCAGTTTTTTCAAGTAATTGTCACTAGTTTTATATTGTGCTTCATGTTTTATTGGGTACCTATCAATAATGTCTTAAGCCATATGAAGTCTTACTCGTACAGATACCTCATAAATAGCTACGACTTTGTGAATGAGTCACTCTCTCTTAAGCACAGCTCAGCGAAGACTCCTCACTACCAATACTTGATTAACCATGAGGAGAAATGTCAGAACCAAGATGTCCTCCTTTTGCTGTTTATAAAGACTGCTCCTGAAAACCACAACCGCCGTGCAGCGATTAGAAAAACATGGGGCAATGAGAAGTACATCCACTCTCAATTTAATGCCACCATCAAAACTCTGTTTGTATTAGGAATACCTTCTCATCTACAGAAGAGAGAAGAACTGCAAAGAAAACTGCTCTGGGAAGATCAAAAATACGAGGATATAATTCAGCAAGACTTTATTGATTCTTTCTACAATCTTACTCTTAAATTACTTCTGCAGTTCAGTTGGACAAATAACTTCTGTCCACACACCAAATTCTTTATGACTGCTGATGACGACATATTTATCCACATGCCAAATCTGATCGAATACCTTCAAAGTTTAGAACAAATTGGTGTTCAAGACTTTTGGATTGGTCGTGTGCATCGCGGTGCCCCTCCTATCCGGGACAAAAGCAGCAAATACTACGTCCCCTATGAAATGTATCAGTTGCCAGCTTACCCCGACTACACTGCTGGAGCCGCCTACGTGATCTCCAGCGACGTAGCCTCCAAAGTCTACAAAGCCTCGCTGAGACTTAACTCTAGTTTTTACATAGACGATGTGTTTATGGGCCTCTGTGCCAATATAATGAGGGTAGTGCCACAAGACCATGTGTTTTTCTCTGGGGAAGGTAAAACTCCTTATCATCCGTGCATCTACGAGAAGATGATGACATCTCATGGACATGTACAGGACCTTCAGGAACTGTGGAAGAATGCCACAGACCCTAAAGTTAAAACGATTTCAAAAGGTTTCTTTGGTCAGCTATACTGCTGGTTTACTAAAGTAACTCTCCTTTGCAGAGTCCACCATGAAGACACATACCCTTGTAGCGCTGCCTTTGTCTAGTAGGACTTAAATGTTGTATGTTTTCCCTGTAACTTAGCCAAGCCTTTTCAATGTTTGTCTATTCCTTAAACAAATGAGAAAAAAAATGCAAAAGAATTTGTTAAAAGCCTATCTCCTAAGAATTTGTTGAAAGCCTACATCCACTATGAAATGGCTATCGATGAAAAGTCTATCAGATCTTTTCTAGAAGCTCTTCGATGTAACTTATCTACTTCATTGCCTAATTCATTTCATGCAAGAATTTATATTTAGAAGAAGTTTATAACCGTTAAACTAAAAGAAATTCAGTTTCTACCTTAATGCCACATTTGAGGCGGAAAAGTTATTAAGGTACCTTGGCGTTAGAGTAACTGCTTTGGTAAAATGCCAAGTAAAAAGAATACGACACTCCCAAGACAAGAATATATTGTTAGAGCAGGTACAGAGGTTTATTTTTATTAAAGAGTACTTGATGGAGGAGGATTGGCCTAGGAAATTACATGAAGCTGGTAAAACTAAGTTTCTAGTTCTTCAGAAGAGATTGAGGAAAAGGTATACAACTACTTTGTAAATGGCCAGATCACTTATTGTCACATACATGTAGCCATTTTACACAGTGTTGGTATCATTTAAAATATTTTTTTTCAAAGTTTAATGTGAAATATTAGAAATATTAAATATTCTAATATTTAAATTAGGGTATTTAGGAAAATACCCTAAATATGGGAAATTTGCTAAACATAGAGTCCTTTGTAAGGAGAGATCATTGTTAACTGAAGTAAGTTGACTTTAGTTTAATGAGTTTCAACTAGTTTTTAAATATTCAATACCAGTCTACCTTGAAGGTAGTTCTTTGAATGTAGCTTACATGGAAGAATATAACAATGGAGACTTCAAAAGCAAGGATAGAACATTAAAGGCCTTTTTCTCCATCATTTATAAAATAAAATTTGCAATGCCTAAATTATTGTAATGATTGCTAAAATTATTCTCCCCCTCCTCAAGAAGGTCTTATAAATCTCAGTACTGTGCTCCATGTTCAGATTTTAAAACTGAGTTTTAAAGATCAATCAAGACTAGTATTAAAAAATATTATTTCATTAAAATGATTATCAGAGGTAAAGCTAGCTGAAGAGTAATATTTCAAATTTGAAAGAGCAATGAAATAGATAGGCAAGTCATTTGAATGAATTCTTTATACTCAGAGAGATCTGATTGAGATCTAACAGAGTAAATTTTGTCTTACAAAGGAATATAAAAATGTGGCCACAAAGCAAACAACCTTGCTCCAGAAATTTCTAGGTGCTGTCTGTTGTCAGAGGAACGATATTGAAAGTCCAAACAGTGACTTCAGCAAAAACATTAGAACTGAATATAAAACCTTTGTCTGCAGAGGTGCCTGTTAGGGGAAACTAAGATATATCATTTCACCAGATGCTGTCTGAAACATGCAAGACAACTAAAAAAAGAATTCTCAGTAAACACAAATGGGTAATGATTATATATACCTATAATATTTTTCAGGTAGCTTTTTCATGTTTACAGAATTTTTTTTTGTGAATTTGTTTTCTATTTTGACAATTGAATTTGTTTACATGCATCACTAGTTAATTTAGTCTTTTTAACTAATGTCAAAACCGTGGTGTCCAACATTCTGGTTTGTAATTCCTGGGTTAGTTCAGGATTTTTAGATCATTACACTGACCAATTATATATTCTGACCAATTTTAAAAACTGTAGAGAACAAAAGCATGTTTTGACAAAGCAGGTGTATAATTAATATTATTTGCTGATTCTTTAATAACTGTTTGCCTTTTGGCCACTCATACCCATGATTCTATACTCATAATTGTTTCAACTAGCCATTGTTTGAAAACCTCAGAGAATCTCTGTATTGTTTACAGCAATACTTTTGTGAAAAGATTATTTATTTGGGAAAGCGCTTTCCTCAGCTGTTCCTTTTTTTAGTTTTTGTTTAGAGTAGAATGGAACAGATTTAAATTTAAAGGAAATATAAATGCTTTTCTCTCTTTTTTTTTTAAAGATTTATTTATTTATACAAGAACCGGGGTACAGGCCAGATGTGCAGGACTCACCAGAGACAGAGCGGGGAACAGAGCAGGCAGACCGACTGAAACACACTGCTGAGGGGAGCAGCGAGAGGAGACAGGAGAGGTCTGCTGCACCATGTGGGTATCTCCCCGGCTGGCCGGGATTGAACCCGCACTGCAGAGTCTGCGGACAGCCTACAAAGCTGTGCTCAACCGCCTGTGCCACCAGGGAGGCCCCAAAGGCGCTCCCTTTTTTAATAAAAAGGGAGTTGCTAGATGTCTCCATCACAGCTAAGGTACTCGGAAGAGTATTTGTAAATATAAGGATTCCAGCCTTTTAAAAAGGAAGGGAAAAATTTTTGGTGCTTCAGTGCCAGGATATCTTTTAAAAACAAAAGAAGAAAATACACTAACTTGAGAGGAAGATGGTTATACAGTGTTATTGCTAAAAAGCTTTTTACCTCTGGATTGTTTTGCAAATTTTTCCATATTATTAATTTTATACAAAAATGTTAAATATTTATACTACTTGAATTTTGCTCTTGTATGGCAAAATAATTAGTGAGTTTTTTAAAATAAATTTATGATTTTCAATAAACCACTTGAAAATTGTAAGCAGATGTATATTTTCACAAAGGTTTTTAACTCCTGTGTGAACACCACTTGTTTCTACAATCAACTTGTTCTGTTTATTGTCAGAGAGATCCACAGTACATGGTCCTAATCTATTCCTGTTCCACAGACTTGCTGCTGTGTCTAAGGTAGAGGATTTCTGTCTCTACATTATGCGACCACCACAAATGCCTCTTGTTTGTTAAATGACTTAAACTGGAATGTCTAAATGGGAGAATTCTTCTCTGCTAATAGATTTTTCACAAAGGGCTGAAATAAGAACCTGTAGCCATAGCGTCTTAAGTTACCTTTTGAAATTTTTCCTTTTATTTGGTATCATTAGTTATTTGAAAGTAGATTAAAATTTAGCCCTAGTTTCTTACAGTCAGGAATATTTTTAGGTCTGCTTTGGAGCACTTGGTGCTTTAGTATATTTGTATATAGTTTGCTCTTATCTGCTTCCCATGCTATTCCTGCTCAATTGTTAACATAGTATATGGTATGATTCAATCAACATATTTTCAAAAATTTGGAAGCATCTGAATTACTTGACTGGAATAGAATTTTTTTACTGGCACAAGGCATGGTTGGGTGTTTTTAGTTGGGACTAAAATGATGATCACTTGGGAGGGTTGGTTAATTGAATCTGTATTTGGGATATACCAGAGCTTCAATGAGAATCTGAACAGAGAACTCTTGATACAGGGTCGTTCATTCTGATAATATATGAGAGGAATGTGAGGATTCTCCCTGATGCTGTCTTCCTTGCAACCACTGCATTCTACAGTGGGTCAAGCCACAGTCACAGCATTCTCTACCATATTCTTATCCTCTAGAACTTAAAGGTGGTTTACTGACTCCAGGATCAGTCAAATCTCTTTACTGGTTTTCAAGGCCTATGTTTTCTTCTTTTCCTCCTCTATTTGCTATTGCGTTCTTTTATCCATTGTCACTATTATCTGTCACAATCAGCATTCATGACCATCCATACCTTGTGCAAGATGGCTTCCCGTGCTAGAGGTCCCCATTCTCCTGAACCTCTGAAATCTTGGAAATCCAACCCTAACTTTGTTCTTCCACTATCTCTTGCCCTTCCTGAAAAATACATACATAAGCAATTACCATGCTAATTACTAGCTGTTACATGTGTTTGTTTCTAACTAACACAATAGGTTTGGAAGGTAGGCACTGTGCATGGTTTATTGAATAGTGCTTAAAATACATTTTTTTTTAAATAATGTTATTCTGGTAAGTCATCCAAATATATTATTCAGAACCCTTAATGAACACTATCTGGTATAATGTTTTAACTATACTACTTAAAACTTTATTAAACAAAATCTGAATGCTTACTATATGCCAGGCATAATGTACCTATCAATGCTAGCCTTAATAAACTCAAATCTATAAAATCAAACAGAATAAGGCAATGTAGGTCAGACTATTGCATGGACTAGAGATTGGTGATCTTAAGATACGTTTTCAAAATTGGTGGTAGAACAAACATATCTATCTTATAGCTTCCATTTCCTGTTTGATCCACTAACTGATTTTACCTTACCTCAAAATTATTTTACAAGAATACTAAAGATGGTTGTATCACTAGATGCTGTGAGTTTTCCCTTTGTATTTGTCATTAGAAGTATGATTTAATGGCCTATTGTGAATTAACATAATTCATCAACTAACTTACAGGATATATTTAAGGATCTTATAATTATAGAAGTAAAGTTATAATAATAAGAGTAGTGTATGGGTTGTAGTAATGGGAAAAGTACCACAATATACTGTTACTTAGCAAACAATAGAACATATTGCCAAGTGGTGCTTTTCAGAGAGCTTATTAAACGCTCAGAGAAGCTACATAGGGCCATTTACAGTCACTCAAAGACAGATTTCAGTCAGTAAGAGCCTATGTTTCCTTGAATACACCTGGAAGTATAAAAGCATAAAGTAGCCTTATTATACTAATACTGGCTCTAATCAAGGGGTAAATTCCTAAAGACAGTTGTTCATTCACTAGAGGCTAAGCACTAACACGAGATTCATGAAGATAAGTACAGCTCATGATTCGATAATTCAAATGGTGTGGCTCTGTGCAGAGAGCTAGAATAGAGGTAATGATAGGGATTCTGAATCTATAGAAGTTCTTTTTAAAAATTAATTTCCCCTTGTGTTTTTGGTCTTGACCACCCTAATTTAGGCATTCTTATTGGCATGCGTTCACATGCCTATCAACACCTTTCTGTAGGCCAGATAGTATTACATTTGTATAAATTGTGTTTTGGGGGGACCTATAGCCTTTAAAGGCCTTTAAACCAGTAATTCAATGTCAATATTAGTTTACTATTTTCTTGCAAATCTACTTTTTTAATCACTAGCATCCTTAGGAGTCTGGTCTGTGTCATTGTTCATCTCTTGCTTGTTGCTTTTATGAGATTCATGAGTTTTAAGTGAATAAATAAGTGAATAAATAGGGTAAATACAACTGACCCTTGAACAACACGGGCTTGAACACCAGGGGTCTGCATACACCAGGATTTTTTTCTTTCCTAGGGTTCCACATTCATGGATTCAATTAACCTGAAGTTGGTTGGTTGAATCTGAGGATGCGGAACCTGCAGGTATAGAGTGAGGCCTAAATTATACTGTGATTTTGTTAGCATGTCCTGAAGAAACTCCACCAGTAGGTGTTATAGACTCCACCCCCACTCCAGACCAAAGATATCCAAGACACCAAGAACTACAAATTCCATACTGTCGTCATCATCGAAGGGAGAGTTGCTGGGACCTGAGGGTGGAGGTAAGCAGCTGGGTTTGGTATAAACCAGACATGTGGGCCGTGGGGGTCTCAGTTTTTCGCCAGCTCTCAGCGTGCTGTTGGGATTCCAGCTCAGCGGAACTGGTGGGACACATTCACGAATTTATCTCCCTCTTTTTCCCCGAGTTATTCATTTCTTCATTTCCCCTTCTTTTGTAAATAAACCCTTATTAAACTTTTTGTGTGTGCCTGCAGTTGAGTATTATTAAAAGTCCCTTTTAAGCATGCAGGTAAGGACCCACAGTCAGGCCAACCCATTTTCTATTGGGGTTACCCTGTAGCAATTTCCCACTGCATGGGGGTGGGTGACTTTAGACAACAGTTGTTCAAGAACCAACTGTATATGATCTTTATTTACCCTTAGTAAATACATGATTTTTTCAGGAAGGATAAGTGATGAGATTTAGAGTGGAGGACGCCCTCCATTTCTCCTCCCACACTTTAGGTTTAAATGAACTCACAAAGGGCTCTGCAGTCTTACCTGCTGGGAGAAAGACTTCCAGGACTCTCAATCTGCTCCTGTGCAGGGTTCTCCCCATCATCACTAGGATCAAGTATTTCTTCATTCTGAAGTGAAAGAAATTTTGCTAAGATAGTTCACTTGACTATTCCTTTTTCCCATTTTCTTGTTTTGTTCTGTTTGTGGCATTCTAGATAAGCAATATATCCAGTTTCTCATCGCTCTCTTTCTTTGGCTCTCCCAACTATTCTAGATCTGTTGTCATTTGCCCTTTAGACTTCCTCTAAGAACATCAAAAACTCATTCTTAAAAGCAGGGCCTCCCGGGTGGTGCAAAGGGTTGTTAAGCATCAGCACTAGGAAGCATCTGCTGCTACTGCAGCATGTATTCAATTCCTGGCCAGGGAGGTGACCCACACGGCGCAGTAGACCTCTCCTGTCTTGCCTGCTGCTCCCCTCAGCTGTGTATTTCAGTAGATCTGCCTGTTCTGCTCCCCACTCTGTCTCTGGCGTATCCTCTCCCCCCGCCTCCCGCACCTCTGGCCTACACCCCAGTTCTTGTATGCATAAAATAAATCTTTTTAAAAACAAGATAGAGACAATAGGCCCCAAGTGGAGTCACTTGTATTAAGATCCATGTCATCAAACCTAGACTTTGCACCCCCTCCCTGGAATATTATCTTCCCCAGTCAGCCTCAAATTTCCAGGTTCACATTAGATACATAAATTTGCCTGAGGAACCCCTCCCATCTAGCAAGGGAAGTTGGCCTTGCATGAAGTAATCTACTCTTTCTTAACTCACACCCTCCTGTCTATAAAAGGCCCCATTTTGTATAGCTCTTTGGAACTCCTTGTTAGATGAGATGCTTCCTGATTGATGAGGTATAAAAACATCAATTAGCTCTTCAAATTTACCAGCTTGCAATTTTGCTTTTTTAACATCAGCCAACTAGTGCTTAAAAATGGGACCAAACCAGAAGATACCTTGTGGGAGGCCAGTCAGGTGGGAAAGTCTGGCCTTCCTTCTGATCCTTTTATTCAGAAGAAATAGTGTGGCAATGAAGGCAGCCAGGTCAACTGGCATCTGCTCTGGGCCCCTCATCTCTACTCTTAAACTCATTTCTGCCTTAGTCGCTCCCATTTCAAAGCAGCACTAATTCACCCTCTTAGTGTAACAGGGTGGTCTCCAGGAAAAGGGAAGTTCCAGGTTCCCTGCCCCACCCAAAGGAGGGTGGAGCTGAGCAGGGGGGAGAAGAAGCTGGAGAGAAGACTGAAGAAGGAAGGAAGCAGGATGGAGAGCAAAAAAGAGACCTGGAGGAGGTACATGGAGCAGAGAGACGTGAAGAAACTGTGCTTGGCTTTGGTCATGGACTGGTTGAAACGGATGTGAGTGAGAGCCCCGTCGGGAGGTTAACAATGGCAGCTTTTATCTTGATTCTGATTTTGCTCTTTTCCTTCCAGATTTGTCTGGTTGTTTCTGATCCTTTTCTGTGGGTCCCCACTGGAAGGTGCTTTGGACTTGTGGCAGGCTTACAGGCCTTGCTCTGGGCCAATCCCGCTTGGGTGGACTTTTACCCACAAGGGGACGGGTAACTTTGGATGCTTGATTTAGAAACTATATTCTTTGTCTTTTCTGTATTGTTTACTAATTGTATTAAAGATTCTTTTCATTAAAGACTTACATGTTTTGTGTTGATGCGGCGGATGGCAGAACCTATTTAGAATGGGCAGGTTTGGGGGCTCTGGGGTGCCGCTCAACCTGTCCTATAACATTAGTAGCACCATTTAATGAAAACTTCCTATGTCTTTTTCACAGACCTAATCTAATTGTTTGGTCTGCCCTATTCTGAAGACACACTTTCAAAATTGAAAATAAAGAGTAGTTCATGGCCAGAAGAAATTTTATTTTTTTTAAATCATATTTCAATTTCCCTGAAGAATATTATCTTTCTTAAACATATCTTTAAAAAGCATCAATATTTAATTTTCAATTGATTATTAAATTTGACTTTTTCTTCACCAAAGGAGAAATAGCAACATTTGGATCTGAATCAAATTAGTCTTTCCCAGAAGTTAAATGATTTGACCTTAGGATTTAAGGAATGCTGTGAAAGCAATTTCATTCCAACTTTTTTTAAATGATGGCATCTGGTAACTTAAGGTAAAGCATTATTTGTTATAATTTTGTTTCTTTAAAAAAAAAAAAGCCATTAGACTTAAATCTAAGAAAAAAGGTGAGGCAGATAAGGAGCTGAAACATCCTTTTCATTTAAAGCATGAAGAGTAATCATTAGGAAGGGTGATTATTATAAGAAGGGTGTAAGGTTTTGCATTTTCTGGTATTGTGAATTATTTCATAAATAAAAAGGTATGACAAGTAAGAATCACTGGAAAATTATAGAATACTAGCGTATAGGAGTGGATAGTGGCAAAGAACAGAAAATTCATTTTAAGAAATGTCTCCAGCCTCTGTCCAGAATAATCGTAACACAAACACAGACCCAGAGAGGAAAACAGCCTCTGGGAAGGGGCTAGTTAGACCTACCCCCTCTTTATTGCTGGGATAATGGGAAATCTTTTTTTTTTTTTTTTTTTTAAAAGATTCAGCTGGTTTTCTCATGGAGAATAGGAAGAACTTTTGAAAAACAGGAACCTCTTAGAAAAACAGGAACCACTTAGTGACCTGTCCTAGGAATTGATTCCTAGCTGGCTGGTCAACCCCTTCTTTGCTCCATCTCTCTGGCCCTTTCCTGCACATCTTTTCCTACTTTTCACTGATGTGGCTTAAAGAAGCCACTCCCTAAAGATTCCTTTGAATAGCATAAAAGTCTCTTTTTAAAACAGAAAGTGTTTCCAGGAGGGTGAAGGGGCTGTGTGACTTATCACAAACTAACTCATTCAGATTTTCTCCTACCTCTGTACTCCAAATCAGCTGCACTGAGAGGAGGATCCTGCTAAGGAGGGGCAAGACCAGAAGAGGGAGGTTTTAGAATATTTTATGGACTGAAGTCTCTGGAAGGGGACAGGTAGGCTCAAGGAGACCAGCGTGAGTGGTCCTAAGGTTTTGTGGAAATGAAAAATGACTAGAAAAAGATAGGGGCATGGTCCCAAATGCAAACGTGGCCTATTTCAAAAGTTTCCCAGGGGTTCTTTTATCCCAGATCTTGAATTTCCTAGTTAGTATTGAGAGTTATTCATTCAATGTTCTACTGCATAAGTTGACTTTTATAGGTTGGGCTAATATGATAAACATAATATTCCATTCCTGGGGAAAATGTCTTTAAAAACTGAAAATATAGCAATGTTAATTTGTGAGTCTGAAGTTTTATTTAAAAATATCAGAAAATAGGGAACATATCAGTTGATCTCTTTCTCCCATTCCCAAACCAAGACATTGTGAAGGAAGTAAGAGCACCAAGGACCTGGAAAAGAATCCATTCTGAGTTTTCTTAGGCTGCTTGATTTCATGTGATTTTAACCTCAATGCATAAATGGCAATGCAAGTTAATTTTTGTATGTCTATGACTCTTAACTCATTTGCAAAGTGCTTTATTAACTTTGCAAGGTGCTTTATTAAACCAATCTTTGTCCCCTAAGCTAATTCACTAATAATTTCCACAGAACCTCAAGGCCACTCGGTTGCCTCTCCTTGGTGTGGGGAGAGCTACAGTCTCTGCAGAAAGTTAGCCCAGTTAACAAAAGAGAAGGTGTGGTTGTTGCTATGAGACTCCACAAATGATAGACTCAGTATTCATAAGTCTCCCTTTTTACTGTTCCTCATGCATGCACTGTATCAACAAATGCATCCAGTGAGGAATCCAAATGGTAATCTCAATGGTATCTTCAATATCTTCCTCTCCTTCACAATTAATTTTCTCTCCTTATCTTCTCTGCCTTAATCTTTATTCATCAAACTTTCTCTGACAGTCTAGTGTGTTCCAGGTACTGGGAGAATAAATAGATTAATGGATAGGAGCTCTGCCCACCTCTTTTTTCTATTACCACTAAGCTCCTAACATGAAGTCTCACCTCGACTGTGACAACTACTAGCAGCTAATCAGTTTGCCTGCTTTCATCTAATCTGTACTTTGTTGAGCCATTGGTATACCAGGGATATATTCCCTTCTAATCAGCAACAGTCAACCAAAGCCTTCAGCAACTTGTCTTCAGTCTGCCTTCCTAGCTTTCTAGAATCTTTCCCAGAATAGCCTATGTCCCTTCAGACTTCTGAGAACTTATATCCTTTCCCATCATAGAATGTCCCTCTCTGTCATATCTACTTTTCAAAGTTGTATTTACTCTTTAAAAGTTGAGTTTGAATGTCACTGCCTTTGAAAAGCATCTCCAATATCCTGGTTAGGAACTACTCCCTGTTCTGTCCTCTAACACTTTATATTCCTTTTACCACAGGAATTTGTATTAAAGCCACAACTTGGAGATATGTTGGATTTAGTTGCAGACCACAATAAAGTGAATATTGCAATAAAGCAAGTCACATCACTTTTTTTGTTTCCCAGTGCATATGAAGTTATGTTTACGCTACTCTGTAGTCTATCAAGTGTGAAATAGCATTATGTCTAAAAAATATAAATACCTTAATGAAAAAATGCCTTATTACTAAAAAATGCTAGCCATCATCTGATTCTTCAAGTTATAATCTTTATCCTGGTAGAGGGTCTTGCCTCAATTTTGATGGATATTGACTGGTAAGTGTGGTGCTTGCTGAAGGCTGAGGTGAAAGGTAATTCTTAAAATAAGACAGCAATGATGTTTGCCACATTGATTGACTAATAAAAGATTTCTCTATAGTATGTGGTATAGTCTGATAGAACTTTACCCACAATAGAATCCTTTTAATATTTTAGTTAATCCTCTTAAACCCTGATGACGCTTTATTAAGTGAGTTTACATAATATAAGTCCTTTGTTGTGGTTTCAACAATATTCCCAGCATCTTCACCAGGAGTAGATTCCATCTCAAGAAGCCACTTTCTTTGCTCATCCATAAGGACAACTCCTCATCCCTTCAAGTTTGATCACAAGGTTGCAGAAATTCAGTCACACCTTCAAGCTACACTTTCAATTCTAGTTCTCTTGCTATTTCCATCACATCTGCAGTTACTTCCTCTACTGAAGTCTTGAAAACATCCCTTAGATTTGGTATTAACTTCTTCTAAACTGCTGATAATGCTGGTATTTTGACCTCTTTCCATGAATCACAAATGTTCCTAATGGCAGCTAGAGTGGTAAATTCCTTCCAGAAGGTTTTCATTGTCTTCACCTAGATCCATCAGAGGAATCACCATCAGAGGAATCACCATCAGAGACAGTGACAGCCTTATGAAATGCGTTTCTTGAAAATCAGAATGATGCCTTGATCCAAGGGCTACAGAAGAGATGTGTTAGCAAGTATGAAAACAATATTGGTCTCCTTGTACATCTCCAACAGAAGAGTGTTGTTAATGAGCAGTTATATTTTGAAAGGCATCTTTTTTTTCTGGGCAGTAGATCTCAATAGTGGATTTAAAATATCTGGTAAGTCATGTTGCAAACAGATGTGCTGTCATCCAGGCTTTGCTGTTTCATTTACAGAGCACAGGCATAGTAGATTTAGCATAATTCTTAAGGGTTCTAGGAATTGTGGAATGGTAAATGAACACTGGCTTCAACTTAAAGTCACCAGCTGCACTAACACTTAACAAGAGAGTCAGTCTGCCATGTGAAGTTTTGAAATCAAGCCTTAACTTCTCATTAGCTACAAAAGCCCTAGGTAGCATCTTCTTCCAATAAAAGGCTGTTTTGTCTACATTGGAATCTGCTGTTTAGTATAGCCAATTCCATTAACTATCTTACCTAGATCTTCTGGATAAGTTCCTGCAGAATCTACTCACTGCCTTACCTTGCATTTTTATGAGAGGGCTGCTTTTTTTTTAACCTCATCAACCAACCTCTGCTAGCTTCCAACTTATTCAGTTCCCTCGCCTCTGTCAGCTTCATAGAATCAAAGAGGGTTAGGATCTTGCTCTGGATTTCACTTGGGCTTATGGCTGTTTGATCTTCTGTCCAGATCACTTAAACGTTCTCTATGTCAGCAACAAGGTTGTTCTACTTTTTATACTTCATGTGTTCACTGGAGTAGCACTTTTAATTTCCTTCAAGAACTTTTCCTTTGCACTCACAACTTGGCTAACTCTTTGGCACAAGAGGCCTAGCTTTCAGCCTATCTCCGCTTTCAAGATTCATCCTTCCCTAAGCTTAATCATTTCTAGCTTTTGATTTACAATAAGAAATCTGCAATGCTTCTTTTCACATGCACACTTAGAGGGATATTAATTGGCCTAATTTCAATATTACTGTATCTCAAGGAATGGGGAGGCCTGAGTCAGGGAGAGAGATGGGCAACAGCTAGTCAGTAGAGCAGTCAGAACCCACACACATTTATCAATTAAATTCTCTGTCTTAGACTTGCAAGCTGATCATAGATCAGAGGCGTATAGCAGGGGGAGGGGGAGGAGAGAGGAAGGGGTGAAGACAGGAGAGGGATGAGCACAAGAGACTGTGGAGATGGAGCACATGCTGCTATGGTAGTGGGAGAAATACAGGAACTACACCTGAGGGAAGAAATCAAATACTGTCCAAAAATTAACACAGATATAAGAAAATAAACATTTTTTTAAAAGAATATAAGCATAATAACCTAAAAAAAAATTTACTGTGTTATGTGAGTGTGGTTCCTGGTGCTCCAAACAGTAACACACTAACACCAAAGACCGCTGGGCACACATCACCATCACAGGCGTAATAATATGGAAAAAGCTAGACCTTTTGTGAGACTTACCAAATGTGATACAGAAATACAAAGTGAGCATGTGTTAGAAAAATGTTGGCGATGGGTTTGCTCCATGTAGAGTTGCTACAAACCTTCAAATTGTAAAAAATACAATCATCTGCAGAGTTCAATAAAGCAAGGTATGTCTGTATAAATCACTGGAAAGATGTTCTCTCCATGAAATTTAGACATAGCCTGAGTTTAGGCCCTCTGTTGGAATAGTTTCCACATGATCCATAACAATTGTTTAATATAAATCACCTTGGGCTGAATATGCTGCCCAAATTGGGCCCAACAACTATTTTAGGCCTGTCAATTTTGCATTGACCAAAGAACAAAGACAACTTACTGTTATTCTCTCTTCTTTCTTCTGGTGCTTCTTAGCAAGACACATCCTCAGGGATTAATAAAATCTCCCTCGATGCCCCCTACACTTTGGACTCTATATTAGACTGAGAGGTTCCTACCCAGTGTTACGTGTTCTCCTTGATACCAGCTCCCAGCACAGTTCACAGTTCAGGGTGGTAGCAACGACCGCCTCCCCACCCCACCCCTTCCTGTTCCTTTCTAGCTTCAGGGTTTTTTTTCTGTTTGTTTTTGTTTTTTCTTTTTTGCTCTTTATTTTAAGAATATTTGTATGGAGGAGACTGTTTGCTCAGAAGCCTGAAAATGTCTCTGCTATACTAAAGCACTTTGACAGATGTTCGAAAACACAGTTCCTTGATGCTCACGGTCACTAGCTCTTCCTTTGCCCTGTGGGTTTACAATCAGGAAAAAGCATTTGTCATCAGCCTTTGGCTTCTTTCCAGCTTCCAGGGAGGGAAGGAGTGGCTAGGAGTGGCCCCTGTGAATCATGCTTGTGGCTTACAGCTAGTGAGAAGAAGTACGGGAAGTAGGCACAGCAGCACAGCTGTTGCTCCATGGCTGGGCTTCCCAGATGACATCAGTGAGCCAATGACTCGGCCGTTCAGTGGCCAGATGGCTCCAGAGCCTCCTTGCTTAGCCTGTCAAGCTCCTGAGAACCAGCTCAGCAAGGATCACCTGGCTGGAGAGGAGGGGACATCATGTTATGATTCAAGTTGCAGTGACGCTAGTGGCAACTATGAGTACCTAAGGTTTATAGCATTTTTCTCTATGCGGAACTTGCTCTTGAGGGCCAGGAAGGGCATTTATCACAATGCTATGATTCACTCTCCTACACCAGCTATGGTTTTGTTTCATCTTTGAGTTCTAGGATTAATGCCAAAAAGTATCACAATCATCACTCAGGGCCACATGCATGTTCTGTCCATCTTGGCTACCTGTCTTGGACAGTGGCCACAAAGCACACCCAACAGTGTTCTTGATGTTAGCTGATCTCCCTGTTGTCCTTTTATTAATCCATGGGCTGCAAGGACATGAATCTAAACCTTTTTTTTCCTAATCTACCTCTTTCTTATAAGTTTTCTCACATTTCCCTGGTTACACTACTTAGCTTGTGAAACACCTACTTGGTCCTAAATTGATGTTTCTATCTAGGATTTGGGAATTTAGCACGCAAATCCCCTTTCTTCCTATTTGTGTTGTTCACAACTATGTGGATTCTGTCCACAGTTCTCACAACCTGGGTTTCCAGAAGCAGAAATCTGCCCAGCCTCTGCCAAACTCAGGAAGTGTTTACTATTAATGTCTGTTTCTGTCTGTTCCCTCCCAGCCATCACTATTAATGTACAAGCGTATGGGAAAGTCCTTCACTACATACACAAACTCCTGCATTGCATATTTTTTAGCAACATGTAATGATGTTTGTGTGTGTGTGTGTGTGTGTGTGTGCATGTGTACAGTTCTATATGATTTTGTCCTGCTCTTTTTAAACATGAATTGTACATTGTTCTACTAATTTTAAATATGAAGTAAGATGACTGGAATGAATGAAATTGTGTTTCCCTGAACTAAACAATATCAGCCAACAACTACATACATGATCAGTTTGTTACTTCCAGTAGAAATCTCACAAACCTCAGGTCCTGGGTACCCTAGTTTGTGCCATGTGTCTTTATGGGCACGTGTTCTGTAGGTGATAAGAGGTAGGATATAGGGGGAGAAGTTTTATTGATTTATTGTTAATTATGGCAGCAATCTTCTCTCAGAGCAGAAAGTCTCATCAGTAAAGAAAAGTGATCTTACCTTGAGTTCACCTTTTGTCTCATCACATTCCTTCTCCAGGGAGTTCAAATCTGTCTCCACAAAAGGTTCCTCAGATGTTTTCTGAAGAAGAGCTAGAGGGACAAAGAAATCCTGACATTACCAATAACTCAGAGCGCTTAGCCAGGCTTGGACAAGCAAGTGGACCATGTCGATACAGTTGATTAATAAAGCTGAACTGAGCCATAGCAGTGATGGCCAAGCTGGCAGAAGAAATTGGAGGTGAAGGAGAGAGGCTGAAAAGAAATGAGTCCTTGACCCCAGACCCCTTGACCTTTAATCCAAAGAGAAAAGATTCATACCCAACACCACCTGAAACATCAAACCACAACACATCAGTAAACAGAATGCAGCAAAAATGATAGTTTCCATCATTACCATTTTTAAGACTCAGCTTCATGAAGACTTTCTTGACAATTTCAAGCCAGGGATTCTTTTACACACTACTCTTTAGTATCTCTCATTTGTACTTATAGTACTGCACTTGATATTGTTCTTGGACTGAGGACCTGATTCACTTTCAGGTACCACATTCTACTGAATGCCTATTTATACTATAGAGGTAATTTGTGCTTATTATAAAGAAATTGAAAGGGACTAAAGTTTTTTTTAAAGATTTGTTTATTTATGCATAGAAGAGCTGGGGTGTAAGCCAGAGGTGCAGGGTGGTGGGGAGGTAAGAGGATTCACCAGAGAGTGGGGAGCAGAACAGGCCAATTTACTGAAATACACTGCTAAGGGGAAAAACAGGAGAGGTCTGCTGCGCCATGTGGGTTAGTTCTCTGGTCAGCTGGGATCGAACTCGTGCTGCAATGGCTGGTGAAAGCTTAATAGGCTCTTTAATCCCTGTGCCACCAGGGAGGTCCAGGACTCAAGTTTTACCCCTTAAACACAATCATTTGATATATTTCCATAGTCTTCAAAAAGTCTTTATACACACACACAAGCAGAGTATGATTATGTAAGGGGATATCTCATATCCTCTTGTGTGATAGAATCGCATTTATTAGTGGGCGAGGTGGATGACTATGTGAAGATCAATTCGCTGAGTCAGTGTGGATCTGGGCTGTCCTACTCTTATCTCCTCTTTCAGTCTCTGTATCTCCCACTTCTGCCTCTCACAGGATTCTCGGATAGCTGGGTGATAGCCTTTCTTCAGGTTCCATGGGATTTGGAAGTGAGATTGGAACTTGAGGAGTAAAAGTCCTTATTATGTCTTGAGGCTTTATAAGCCAGCTTTGCCAGAGCACTATATTGGGGTGATGGCAACACAGCTAATAAATAAGTGGTACTTTGAATTCTTATGTCACCATTGCCATTTTCATGTTTACAGTTCATCCCAAAACTCACAGACCACATGTGATTAACCCAAAATAAAATTTGAGCATTTTTAGGTCCCATGGCCAAAATGCCACTCAGCCCTTATCACCAGTATATCACTTCGATCCTCATCTTTGCTGCACTTGATAGAGGTTGACCATCAGACTTCCAGAGGCTCCTCCCAACCCACAGATTCTGTGAGCCAACTGGATAGAGCTAGGCTTTCCTTGGGTGATTCATAGATGTTATGTTGAATCTGTACTGAAGTACGCTACTGCGCAAGCTTATATGACCACCAGAGCAATCCTGTTCACTAACGATGGACAATCTTTTCGGTTCCTCACTGCCTGCAGGATCTCTGTGAACTAGGCGATTTCAGGCTTAATAACTGTATGCAAGAAGTGCATACACTGTAATTGGAGATACCCATGACTGAGAAGCACCTGCCCGTAAAATTGTTAAGTACAGCAATGACGTTAAAGGCTGAGAGATGGGGGCCTTACTGTGAGGGTTCAACTTCTGCTCTTCCACATATGAGGTACACATTATCAGTCATCTTTGTGCCTTAGCTTCTTCATCTGTAAAGTGGAAAATAATGAGAAAGCCTAGAATACAGGGCTGTTATGAGGTCTTACTGAGTTAATATGCACAAATTGTTTAGATCATGGTAAGCAGTCAGTACATTTTAGTTCTTATTAGTCATAAAGGAATTTTTTCATATTCCTTATGAGCTACAGAGAGGTGACAGTTTACCCAAGGTATGCAGCTAACAGAGGTAAAGCTGAGATCCCAACTCCCATATCTAAGTAACCTGCCCATATTGCTTGGCAGTTTATTTTGGCACAGATTCATTTCATTTACAAAGGAATTAGAAAATGTGTTTGAAAATCCTATTAATGGACCTGCTTAAGTCCACAGTGGTTATACTCCAAAACAAAAGCACAGGATCGTTCTGCCAAATGACCAGGCTACCTGATCAAGGTCAACAATACCTGTTCAGACATGACTGCTTACCCTAGGAGGGCCATTAACTGTTAGGAAACCTTGTGTTTGAAAATCTGAGAAACAACAGGCTTTAGTTACTTGTAACAAACACCTGCCCTTTAAAACAGTGAGAGGAGCAAAATCATAGAAGGAACACACTTAATTTTGGAAAAGAGCCCTGGGTAAGAGGTCAGGAGAACCAAGTTCCATTTCCAGCCATTCGAGAAGGTGTCTCCATGTGTGTGTCTGCGGTATGTATGTATAAGTGCATCTGTGGGTGCACACTCATTTGTGTGTGTGCATGTGTGAGAAGCAAAAGAATAGACAATTCCAGAAAAAAATGTACTAAACTGTTATCAAAGATTAATTCTAAAAAGTGGAACATACATGTCATGGGAGTCAGGGGGTTATTGACCGTACTAAAAGGAGAATTACCAAAAGATCCCATAATTTTCAGATAAAAATTGGGAAAAAACTTGTTGCCAATAGACCTGCACAACAGTAAATGTTAAAGAAAGTTTTCCAGACTGAAAAGAAATGACACAAGATGGTAATTCAGATCTATAAAAAAGAGTAAAGAACAGCAGAAATGGTTGAATACAGGTTGAATATAAGAGTATATATATATATATATATATATATACACATACATGTATCTATTTCTTCTTTTCTCTTAAGTTCTTTAAAAGATATATGATTGCTTAAAGCAATAGTTACAAAAAATTTAGGAGGATTTAACATATGTAGATGTACTATTTATAATAATAGCGCAGAGGATGGATGGGAGACACAGATATACAACCTCCTATCTTGCAACTATACTGTTATAAATTTTCTATATTTCACATAAAGTACTACAATATTAACTCAGTGCACAGTGTGATAAATTAAGAAGGCATATAATCCCTAGGAGAAACATCTGGGAAAAACAATGTAAAGAGTATGCTAAAAAGGAGTGTAATTAAAACTGAGTAGAGAAATAAATATGAGACAAATTGATAGTAAAAACCAAAATAGTAATTCTAAATCCAATTATGTCAACAAATTACATTGTATATAAATGGACTAAATACTCCAATTAGAAGGCAGAGGTTAACATGTATTAAAAAGGCAAGCTCCAACTATATGCTGCCTATAGAAATATACTTTAAAAATAAAGGTAGAAACAGAGGAATGTAAAAAATACATCAAAACCAACAAGCATATGAAAGCTGGAATAGCTATATTAATATCAGACAGACTTCAAAACAAGGGATTACTAAATGTAAGGAGCAAGGGAGATATATTTCATAATTATACAAGAGCCAATATAATCTGGAAGACATAACAATAAGGAACATTATTGCTTAATAACTGCTTCAAGATACATAAAGGCAACAAATAGCATACATCAAGTTCAAGACAAGTTTATCCCTAGAACATAAATTGTTTTAACACTTGAAAATAAATCATTGCAATCTACCATATTAACAAATAAGGGGGAAAATCATTTGATTATCTCAATTTATGTACCAATCGCTTCTCGGCCTTTTGGCTAAGATCAAGTGTAGTATTAATTTATGTACCAAAAACAGCATCTAGAAATTCAACAATTGTCAATGATGAAAATTCTCATCAAACTATTAATAGAAAGAAACTTCCTTAATTTGATTAGCAGTTATCTGTGAAAAACTTTCTACTAACATCATTCTTCAAAATGAGGAATGAACTCTTTCCCTTAATACTGGGGAAAGATAAAAATGTCTGCTTTCACCACTTCTATTCAGCATTGTACTGGAGGTTCCAGTCACTATAATAAGGCAGGGAACAACAACCAGAAAAAGCATTAAAATAAAAACAGAAGTCTAAGTGTCTCCATGCACTGATGATGTGTGTATATTTCTACAGAGAAATACATTCTCACTGACAGTCATAAATCATTATATATTTTCTAAAGGGTGAAATACCACAAAGCACCTAACACCTTTACATTCAAAACTACTATCTTGCCAAGTGAAGTTAAAGAAGACCTAAATAAATGGAGAGTCATAATGTTTATGAATTGGATCACTCAACATTGGTAGGATAATAGTTCTCCTCAAATTAATTTATATACCCAGTGTAATCTCAATCATAGTCCCAATGAAATTAAAAATGTATATGAAAACAAAAAGAACTTAAAATAGCTAAAACAATCTTGAAAAAAGCAATGTTGGAAGATTTACCTAATGAGCTGTAATAATCAAGACCTGATTGATGCAAGAACTTACATACATATCTTTTCAAAGAGCCCACTTTACTGATTCATTACTAGTAGAATCTTATGGGCTTTTTAAAAGTCCTTAATGGAGTATATTTCATGCTAATGTTATTTGTGCAATTACGTTATTCCTCTACTAGACTCAGTTTCTCCTTGCATTCAGGCACTGAATATATAAAGCTCATATATAACTTTCAATTTTACATAACTTTTTAACATCCAAACCTATACTATTCCATATCTGTAATTTGTTTTAAAGCACATCTGTCAAAACAATGACTATTATGTGCCCTAAATAGCCACAATATTATCAAGTTGATGTGGGAACTAACAAGACATAAAGCGACAAAGTTTCCTTCCCCAAATTACCTACCCAAAGTGGAGGGCTGGCTGGCTTTCGGTGGCACCCATTTTGGGGAGGACTCAGGATGGGGAGCCACAGGTTGCACGGGGCGCGTCTGTCTGGCTGCGAGTTTCATCAAACTCATTTGCCTCTTGTGAAATATATCTTGCACATTATCCAGCTTCTGCAGGACTTTCTGAGCCTTGGCCTGCAGGAACAAAAGCAAATCACAAGCAGACCACTCTACACTGAGCATGAGGAGATAAAGCTTCTCTTTCTCACATCATCCTCTCTTTTCCCCAGTCCAACTGCCTCTGGACATCCATATGCAAGTTACTGCATATCTCCCTTGCACCAGGATTGTGCTTCTAAGGATCTCTAAGCATTTTAGAGAACTTTGAGATCAATGATTTTATCCTTTCACTTCTGCCTCTGCTGGAACACTGCGCAGCCGAGCAGTGCTCTGAAAACACTTGTTAGTAGGTAAAGGCTCTCTAGGTCATGTCCACTGATGATAGAAAATGATGCCACAGACCATGAATAAAGGGCATTTTGCCAATTTACAAAACAGGAGGACTTCACAATAAAAAATGTACCCTGAATAAAGGCCCTGACAGACAAAAGAATTTAAATGTTCAAAGGAAAAGAATTAACTGAATCAAGGGGACCACCTGTAAAAAAATGTACACTTAAATTTTATCCTGTGAGACCTCCTCTTTGTACATAAATAAGGAAGAAATAAACTGAAGAATCACCAAGGGAAAGATGAAGTGCACATATTTCCCTTATCTGATGTAAGCCCTGTGGCAGAGGGCCAGGGAAAGGAGACCCGGAAGCCTTTGATTAACACCAAAGTCTGAGCTGGAATGAGTGCCTGCGGCCTTGCTACCAGCATGACATCCTCTAGCTCTGGTCAGACAACGGGAGGGGTAGACTTTTCTTTGCCATGCCGACACTGACATCCATGTCCTAGATGATTTGGATGGACCAAAGAAGAAACCCAAAATGAGAAGAGCTGAACCATGAAGAGAAGAGCCATGCAGAGTATTGTAAGGCTGCCCAATTCCCAAAGTGCAGGCTCAGCACACACCCGGAAGGTTCCCACATTCTGCAACTGGGAAAGCAAATTTGTCTTTTTTATGCTGTGGCATCTCCTGAGGGAAAGAGCCAGGACCCTGAGGCAGGGCTGGAATGTCAGCTATGGAACAAATGTTGCCTTACAGCTGGAGGGCCCTGTCAAGGCTGACCTCTGTGGAGATCACAGAGGATCTGGGGCTGGTCTCCCTCTGGGTTTCTGAGTGCAGAAATGTCCTCCAGTCACATGTGGCTACTGAGTACCTGGCACATGGTTAGTCCAAATTGGGCTGTGCTATGAGTGTAGAAAACACGCTGAGTTTTGAAGATGTCATATTAAAAAAGAATATAAAATATTTTGTTAATAATTTTTGCTATTGATTTTATGTAAAACTAATGTTGTTTTTTTTTTAAAGATTTATTTATGCATACAAGAGCTGGGGTATAGGCCAGAGGTGTCGGGGGATGAAAGGATTCACCAGAGACAGAGAGGGGAACAGAACAGGCAGATCGACTGAAATACACTGCTGAGGGGAGCAGCAGGCGAGTCAGGAGAGGTCTGCCACGCCATGTGGGTCAGCTCCCTGGCCGGGGGTAGAACTCATGCTGCAGTGGTTGCGGATAGCTTCATAGTGCTGACACTTAACCCCTTGTGCCACCAGGGAGGCCCTTAAAACTAATATTTTGAACACAAGCTAAATAAAACATTAGAATTGACTTCATTTGTTTCTTTTCACTTTTTAAAATGTGGCTACTAGGAAATCTTACATGGCACAAATGATTGGCATTGTAGTCCTATTGGGCAGTGTTGGTCTAGATCAGGGTTCAGCAAACTTTTCTGCAAAGGACAAATGATAAATATTTTAGCCATTTCAGACCATCTGTTGCATTTGCTGCACAAAAGCAGTGTCAGGTAATAGATAAAACAGGAGTGTGGCTGGGCTCTGATAAAACTTCACTTGCCCAAATAGGTGATACGCAGTTTGGGTCCACCCACTGAAGTAGTGGGTCCACCCCCAGTCTCGACTGAGCTCTACACTTTTGCTTTTGTTTAAAATGTCTTAGAGAATGTGTCTCTGGCCTCAGGAAGCTCAGCAGTACAATGGACTGGAGGTTCTGGTAACACAGCTACGAGGCCACGTACCAAAAGCAACTGCATTGAGGGTGATGGAAATGTCATTTGCATTTATGGGGAGATAGTGATGAGATGATGATGAGATTTGGTGATCAGCCACCATGACATGCCTTTCTGGCCCAGTGGTGAGCTTCAGGAAATGGAGACACAGTTGTTATTGGCTGCACATAGATCAAGACAGCTGATTGAACAAATGACTATTGAATGGGTGGTGTATGGCCCTGGGTCAGCTCCATCTCACGGGCCACAGGCTGGTCCCTTACCACCAGGACTAGAACCAGCTCACATCACCTTGGTCTCTTTGCCTTTCTCCCTTATAATCCTAGCATGAGCCCTGGAAAACGAAGCAGTCATAAGAGACCCTAAACTCCTAAGCTATATCACACTCTGACTTATCTTTCTAAAATATCAATCTGTTCCTATAACTACTCTATTTTTTCCCACAGTGTGAGAATAAAGGCCAGACAGCTCACTCTGGAGTACTAAGCAGTTGAGCCTAATTTCCCTAGAGACTTACCTCCTGCCAGGACCCACCCCCTAACACCTCAACCTCAGTTGTCACAGTTCCCCTAAATGCTCTTTTGCCTTTGGGCCTTCTATTTCTTCTATGTTCCCTCCCTCCATTTTGTCTCCTTTGAAAAATGCTACCCAATTTTCCCAACTGGATTTAGGTGTCTCGTATGGACACCCTAGGGGCCCAGGCTGAGCTGAAGACTGCCTCCCCTGTGTGCCCGACTGTCTCTTGAGAGCTTATTTGGACAATCTAGCAGGGAGCGTGGCTACTCGTATACCAATGACCAAAGAACGGGTCATTCTGCCCTGGGAAGGCCGTCCTCTTCCACCTAGCATGAAGATTTGGGAGAGGAGCACATGGAGCAGTGAGGGAGGAAGGGGACATGTTCCCAGTCAGCCAGATCAGCCTGATCAACCTTGGTGATCAACATGGTGAGAGATGTCGCAGCCAGATCGCCCTCATATCGTGTCTCTTGCATTCTATATCTCTTAGCCAAGGAGCACTTAGTGGGCACATGTTTGTCTTCCACTAACCTGGCAGCCCTGTGACTACGGGGCTGTTTTTCATATTGTCTTCCTAAAATAAAGCCCAGACTGGGAACCCAATGAATGTTTGCAAAATTAAATTTTGTTATTTGCTAAACTATGAACCAGAGACACTCTATGGGGGTCGGGGGCAGGGAGGGGAGGGATTGGGGTCAAAATAAGGGGGTTGCAATTGTATGGGGAATATAAAAATAAAATTTATTTAAAAAAATTTGTTATTTGCTACTGAGATTGTTCATTTTCTAGTCTGGGTAGGGAAAGTGAACAAGGGAGAAAAATCTAAACAGTAGCACTAAGAGGGTAACACGATGACAGTATATTAGGAAAAGGTATTTGAAGAGCCTCAGACAGACAGTTCTTAAGAACAGGAGTCTATTGCTGGTATAGTTTTGATAATCACTGTGTCTTAAATGTTATTGAGACATATCAGCTTTTTAGAAATATGATATTTTTTATAATAGTTTTAGATTTACAGAAAAATTACAAAATAGTACAGGGTTGCCATATACACCATATCCAGTTTCCCCCACTATTAACATATTAGTATGGTACATTTGTTATAGTTAATGAATTATTGGGTGGTCAGAAAAGTCATGACACATTTTTGCATAGAAAACAGAAAAAAGCACATCATGACTTTTCTAACAACTCAATAACATTGATTCATTCTTTTTATTATTATAAGAAATAATAAATAAGTTCCCTACTTTATTTACATTTTCCTAATTTTGCTTAACGTATCTTTTTTCCCTAAGGTTCTATCTAGGGCACCACATTACATTTAGTTACCATGACTTCCTAGGTTCCTCTTGGCTATGATGGTTTCTTAGCTTTTCCTGGATTTTGACGACCTTGACTTTTTAAAGGACTGTAGATCAAGTATTTTATAGAGTGCCCCCAAATGGGATTTATCTGATGTTTTTCTTATGATTAGCCTGGAGTTACGGGTTTTTAGGGGAAAGACCACAGAAGTAAAGTACCATTTTCATCTCATCCTTTCAAGGGTACATTTTCTATAAATGACTGTTGACCTTGATCACCTGTTGAGGTAGTATTTGCTAGGTTTCTCTACTATAAAGTCACATACTGCACTCTTTGGAAAGATGTCACATCGCAAAGTCGTAATTAAGGAAAATCCCCCACCTCCTCGAGGCCAAAATCTCTACATGAACAATTTAGAATTATTCTCCATGGGAGATTAGTTTCCTCTCCCCCATTAATATATTTAGTCCACCATTAATTTTGTCAGCATGGATTCACGGATATCTATTTTATACTTTGGTTTGTAATCCAATATACTTTATTAATTTTGTAGTTCAAATTGTTCCAGTATTGGTCATGGGGTGCTCTTTCAGTTGTTTTCTGTGTCCCAGCATTATGGTTTGTTGTTTTGATTTTAGGCTTTCTGGCACTATAAGATGCACTAGTATCATACACGAATTTCCCACCCCAGTTCTAGAATCAGCCACTTCTCCAAGAAGCCCAGGTCTCTTTTACTGAAAAATGGTATTAGAAACCAAAATCTTGGTGTTAGGTGTGCTTATCATATTGGGCATTTCACTGCTTCTAGGTCCTTTCAAAGTCTGAAGATAGAGGTGTCTATATTAAACTCTGCATATACATATATCTAAGAAGGCGTCTATAGGGGTAGAGTATCAGTTCGGATAATGTTGTAAGTTCTCATTGTACAAAACTCTCCAAACAACAGGTTAATTAAATCTATAACTTAGAATTTTATTTCAAACCTAAAGAAGAGATGGGCTTTGGGGATTTTTAGATCTATTTTATTTTATTTTTTATTTTTTTAAAGATTTATTTATTTATGCATACAAGAACGAGGGTACAGGCCAGATGAGCAGGAGGTGAGAGGACTCACCAGAGACAGAGCAGGGAGCAGAACAGGCAGACTGACTGAAATACACTGCTGAGGGGAGCAGTGGGCGAGACAGCAGAAGTCTGCCGCTCATGTGGGCATCTCCCTGGGCGGCCGGGATCAAACCCACGCTGCAGAGGCTGCAGACAGCTTCACAGCCCTGCGCTCAATCACCTGTGCCACCAGGGAGGCCCTGGATCTATTTTACATATAAATTCCATGAGGGATGGAAGCACGTCTATTTCTGCTCATGGTAGTGTCCTCAGCGCACAGCACAGTGCATGATACATCAGAGATGCTCATAGCATTTGTAGAGAAATGAGTGGCAGAAGGTGATGACTTAGTCAAACCATGAAGGGTTGGTTTGCCAGAAGCACAGACCAGAAGTCTAAGAGGTCACTTGAGGGTTCAGGAACTGGTTAACCTACTCACTACATTCTACCTGGATTTTTTTAGGCAATAAGCAAAGTCTTCCCACATTTTGCTCCCAACCACAGGATTAACATATCCCAGAAATATTACCTTTACTTCAACGGTGAGCATCAGCTCAAACTGGTTGTAGAAGTCCCTGGGGTTGGGTAACTGGTAATCCTTCGCTGCGCTCAGGAAAGTCTCGATGTCATTCAAGGCAGTGTCAACCCCTTCTCGTGACTGGCACTTGTCTACAGCTTGGGAAGCCAAGAGGTAGATTCCTTCTTCACACCACTGGCTGACCTTTGGGAAAGAAATAAAGTGCCGTTGGGGGCTAGCTTGACCACAGTCCTCAGGAGGTCTGAGCTTCTATGGGATCAACAAGGAATCTGAAACCATGGGAGATTGTTGGGGGACAGCATAAAGTTTAGAGGTGTGACCACTGTAAATACACTAGAAGGAGGATGAGTTCAAAAATTTCATGTCTGTCCACTTCTCAGGGATGTCACCCAGTCACATAAATATTCCTCCCTTCTCCACCTACAATAAGTGTTACATCTCCAGGAGAAGAGAGTTAAGTACTGCTATATTTGGCTTAACCATAAAAAAATGTAACTAGTGGCTTTGAGGTTTATTTGGTAGCTACTTGTCTTGCACCCTAATTGATTACATGAGCACAAAGTGGCCGATGAGGCATGAGGTCTGGCCTCCTATATGCCTTCCTGGAGGAGGGAATGTTCCTTTTTAACAAAAACACCACTTTCCTCTGCCCACATTTGCATTTATTGGCATTTTTCTTTCCTAGGGAAACTTCCAAGAATGCAAAATTTTGTAACTCAGAACAGCAATATTCTAACTTTGCAGAATGCTGGAATGAAATCAGATAGGTGATGATTCTAACAAATCAATGTTTTTAAAGACTTGAACAGAAAGACAGGAGCCCTTTTACTGCCGAAAATCTACATGAAAAGAAGCTTCCAGTGCAGGTACACTTGCATTTTCCTTTACCATGTGACCTGAAGAGCTATGTAAAATACAGATCAGAAGTAACTACAGAGTAGAAACAAGATCAGAAGGGAGCACTCCAAAGTGGTGATATTTAGGAAAATTAATAGGCACTTACATTGTGGTCTTCATTTTTTTCCTTAAATGATGTAGATAGAACAATACTACTTTTAGAATTATAAAAAGCAATAAGGATATTTAATAATTGATGACTGTCACTGGTGTGTGGATGAGAAGGGGAGTGAGCTATATAGGTGTCCATGAGTGACTTTTTCCTTCTCCTTTTTACATTTTTAGACTTTCAAAGTAATATGAAATCATATTTTCAAAGATGAAAACATTCTCTTTAATCATAATGCCTGCATCTGCAGAAAGCATTAAACTGGGGTCTTCTACAGAGTCACAGCAGTTACTTAGGCATGCTTGCACACATGCACGCGTGCGTGCGCACACACACAAACTCACACACATACACACCAGCATAGGTTTTAATTTCTGGAGCAGAAATAGAATGAGGAAAACAGCAGCTGATCCTGCAGAGAGCCCAGTGCACAGAGCAAGCTGTGCAAGAGGCCATTCTGAATCACTTGCTTCTGAAACAGCTGTGTTTCATTGACATTAAAATCCCTTTGGCAGTGGGATGATGTAAAATAGCCTGGATGGGTGCCCTGGGTCAATGGAGAGAGAAATACCTGTGGGAAGAGGGATGCTGATTCATAGCCCTGAGCTGTGTGCTGTCTGGGAACAGCTGACAGGGAAGGCTCCAGAAGTCACTATTATTGCTGACTGGGCACTTGCCCCAGCGGTCCTCACTGAAGGGCATAGGAGGCTGTGGCATTGCTGTCTAGCCAAATGGGACTGGGCCTAGGACTTTAGCAGGACTGACTTCAAGTCCAGCATCCTCTGTTCACCCTGAGTGGGGTGCTAAGCAATCACTCACCCCAGAGTTTCTCAGTGTTGTCTTTGTGCCACCTGCACCAGCGTGATCTGTACACTTGACTAAAATCCTGATTCGTGGGCATCACCCCAGGCCTCCTGAATCTTGACTCTGGGGCAGGCACCTCAGGGCATCTGCAGCCACAGCAAGCCCATCAGGGGAGCCTCATGAAGTCAATGTTGAGACCCATTGACTTAGTGGAATATCAGTCTCTGCCTCCATAAAATGAGGCCATTAATACTTTCCCCACAGGTTGTCTTGAGGATTAAATAGATGACATATTATGCTCCTGGCAGGAACATAGTAGATGTCCAGGAAGTGGTCATTATGTGTCCCTGTTTTCCATGAGCAGCCTGCAATAAAAACCCAAAGGAATCACAGTCTGATGTCTTATATGAGGGAACACTTTGCAAATATAGTTTTGTTCTTTGTACACCTGAAGGGAAAACAAGAAATGTGCTATATGGTCAGGCAACACACATTCTTTAAATCTGGGTCCCCCGAGAGTAAAATGGACTTTAGTTCATTCTAGTGGGATGTGGTGAGATTGTTGGAGCATTTTTAACTTCAATACCTCTACGAGCTGCAGTTAAATCTTTATGAAATCTGTTCACATGAGGCACTTATCCTCTTGACAACTGTGGGGCAGGAAAACGGTTTTGTTTTGTTTTTTAAAGATTTATTTATTTATGCATACAAGAACTGGGGTAAGGGCCAGAGGTGTGGGGGGAGGGGGGATTCACCAGACAGAGTGGGAAGAAAAACAGGCAGATCTACTGAAATACACTACTGAGGGGAGACGCAAGCAAGACAGGTGAGGTCTGCTGAGCCATGTGGGTTAGCTCCCTGGCCAAGGATCAAACTCATGCCGCCATGGCTGGTGATAGCTTGATAGCACTGAGACTTTAACCCCTGCGCCACCAGGGAGGCCCCCCAGGAAAACTGTTTAATAGAAAATTTTGCAGATATCATGGTCACTGCTTGGTTTTGCTCACCTTGTCCAGTTGTCTATGCAACTCCAAGGACTTTGCTAGAATGTCATCTTTTTTCTTGTTTTCATTGATGAAGTCATCACAGAGGTGCCTGAGTTCCACACACCTGGGTCTGATGGAGTCTGCTGCATAGTGATGGCTTTGGATGAGCTGGTCTCCAATGAGTGCCAGGAGCTGGGCCTTTTCCAAGGGCTCCTCCAAAACAAACATGCAGAGCCAAGCATCAGAAGCCAGGTCATAGGAAGGCTGATATTTGCCTGACACTGTGTTTCAAGCCTGGAGGGAGGTTGCGGAGCTGTTGATTCAGGTCTTAGACTGAAAGTCTGAAACTGGGGAATCTGGGAGAGCCCTGTGGCCATTCAAGGTCTCCTGGAAATCTATTCTAGTTCAAGGTCATCTGCACTCAGAAGGATATCAAGTCATTCATTCGAATACCTGTTGAATTTTAGGGTAAGCACTGAAGATACAGTGTTAACAAGCTAGGAGTTTTCAGCCTAATGAAGAACTCAGATAGGAAATAAATTGTACAAATAATTAGATGATTACAACACTGATAAATTCTAAGCTAGGTGAGCAGAAGTGTTACACTGCACAGAACAGGAGACTCTAAATCCCTTTCAACTAAACAGAAAAGGGAAAGGGACAGACACATGACAGTAAAGAGAGTCAGTAGTGAACTGAAGTTGAGAATCTGGTAAAGATCTGGTTTGGACAACTCTATGGGCAGGGGTTTGGGGGGTCAGTGGTCATGAGACTTAAGAAATATGTTTATCTAAACTGCTTCCTGCAACCGACAAGATCTCTAACTGCTCTCATCTTGTCTATCCAGCCACTGCATCTCCTACCTCTCTCTGTGTAACTTGCTTTGTCCTAACCATAAATGCCATGTTTTTCTGTTTTTAACTCATTCATTACATATTATTGAGGTCCTAACATGTGCCAAATACTGTCTTAGGTGCTAGGGGTTGATGGCAAACAAGGCAGACAAAGATCCCTGCCCACATGAAACTTACATTTCAATAGGAGACACAGGCAATAAGCAATTAAATATGTAGATTATGTATTGTCTTAGATAGTGATGAATGATATGGAGAAAAATAAAACAGAGAGAGGAGTGCAGGAAGAATGGGTGCAGGAGCTGCTATCTTAAATATGATGATGAGGGAAGATCTCGAGAAGAAGGTCCTGATCGACCTGTGCAGAAGAGATAATAGACCAGGTCTGAGACTGTAGTCCTTAGAAAGAATTTGGGGAATCTAAGTTGACACTTCTCCAAGACACACAGATGGTCAATAGGCACAAGAAAAGATGTTCAGTATCTCTTACTATCAGGGAGATGCAAATCAAAACAATAATGAGCCATCACCTCACACTTGTGAGACAGCTTATACCAAAAAGTCAGGAAACAACAAGTGTTGGCAAGGAATTGGAGAAAAGAGAAGCCTGATACATTTTATACAGTGTTGGTGGGAATGCAAAGTGGTACTGTTGTAGAGCAACCCTGATACAAAACGGGGTGCCTGACTGTGGGTCCTCACCCGCGCGCTTAAAAGGACTTATCAATGCTCTACTGCAGGCACACGTGAAAGGTTAATAAAAGGTTTATTTACAAGGGAAGGGCAAATGAGGAAATGTACAGCTCTGGGAGAAAAGTGGGAGACAAAGTTTTAAATGAGTCCTACCCGATCCGCCGATTAGGAATCCCAAAATGGCGCTCTGAGAGCTGGCCGCCAGCCAGGAGCCGTGAAGCCAGGAGGCGAGCAATCGCGAGCCAGAGAGAGCCCAAGGCCCACGTGTTTGGTTTTTCATATCCAACCTGGCTGCCCAACTCCACCCTCAGGTCCCAGCCACCCTCCCTTGGTGGTGATGGGATTTGTCTTTCCCAGAGTCTTGATGGCTTTAGTCTGGAGTGGGGGTGGAGTCCACAAAGTTAATCCTGTATGGGATTAACTCAGGACATCACTTCCCCCTAACAGTACAACTGTTAGGGGGAAAAGGATGTCCCAAAGCAAATTCCATATAGGCTTTGTGGACTCCACCCCCACCCCAGGTCAAAGCCAAAGACACTGGGAACTCCAAATCCCAACACCACCAAAGGGAAGGAGGCTGGGACCTGAGGGTGGGGTTAAGCAGCCAGGTGTATATAAAAGGCAGACACGTGGGCTTTGGGGGACCCCATTTTGGCTCTCCACCAGCTCGCAGCGTCCGGCCAGCTCTGAGAGTAACTTTGGGTTTCCAGGTCGTCGGATCGGGTAGGACGCATTAAAGACTTTATTTCCCTATTTTCTCCCTGAGTTGTACATTTTCCTTATTTCCTTTCCTCTTGTAAATAAACTTTTTATTAACCTTTTTGTGTGTGTCTGTAGTAGAGTATTCATAAGTCCCTTTAAAGCGCGCGGGTGAGGACCCACAGCCAGGAACCTGTTTAATATCAGGGTTGCTCTATAACACAACCACTGTGGAAAACAGTATAGAGATTCCTCAAAAAGTAAAAACAGGAATGTCCTATGATCCAACTATTCCACTTCTGGGTATTTATCCAGAGAATATAAAACCTCTAATTTGTGGGCCTCCCTGGTGGTGCAGACGTTAAAGGCACAGTGCTACCAAGCTATCTCCAGCCACTGCAGCACGAGTTCGATCCCCAGCCAGGGAGCTGACCACATGGCACAGCAGACTTCTCCTGTCTCACCCACTGCTCCCCACCAGCAGTGTATTTCAGTAGATCTTCCTGTTCTGCTCCCCACTCTGTCTCTGGTGAACCCTCTCACCCCCATGCCTCTGGCCTGTACCTCAGTTCTTATATGCATGAATAAATAAATCTTTAAAAAATAAAATAAAATGCAGGCTAGTTAAAAAAAAAACAAAAAACAAAACCCTGCAGATTCACATGTCACAATGAGTAAATGCTAGTTGCTCACAACAGCAGCAGCTGAGGGGAGCAGTGGGTGAGTCAGGAGAGGTCTGCTGCGCCATGTTGGTAGCTTCCTGGCCAGGGATCGAACTCTTGCTGCAGAGGCCACAGATTGCTTCATAGGTTGAGTCTCAACCCCTTGCGCCACCAGGGAGGCCCTTTGCAGGGTTTTGAGGTGAGGATCTCAATTATATTTTTAGAAGAAATGCTCCAGCTGCGGTAGGAAGAATGGCTGAGAAGAGGCCAAGCAGGGAGACCATTTGCCGGGCTACAGCAGTTACCCAGTGAAGAGATATGCCTTTAACAAAGCAGGCAAACTCACCCTGCCTCAGGGTACTCCCTGTGAAACTCTTCTCAGGCCCCAGCTCATAGGCCTTGCCTGCCGGTACATCTAGTCACACCCTGAAACACGCCCACACTGAGTTGCTCTCTCTTTGTTTTCATTGATTTACCAGCACTGTGTCTGTCTAAAAGTACCTTCTGTATTTACTTTAATGTGTGACTCCTCCCTCCTCCACCCACTTCCACCAATACAAAAGCTCTATGACAGTGCTTAGTAGGTATCGCATAAATATTTGACCAGTAAAATGAATGAATGAATGAGCCAATGAACTGGATGATGCAGTGATTCTCCTGGCTGGATCTATGTGAAACAATACTGATGTGTGAGCCAACACATGACCACCCTGTTCCCACAGGTCTCCAGGAGCAGGGAGCCCACACGCACCCTTGCTGACCACGTGGGGCATCCAGTGCCCCACATTTGCCCTGATTTAACTTTCTACAGTAAGGAGTCATGATGATTCCAAGTAATGATAGCTTCCCCTCGCTTCACTTACAATGGTTTATGGTTTCAATAATCTCAAGACCCCTGTCCCCTCTTCAAGCCCTGCAGAGCTCATATGTTTCTTATTACCTTTTTGATTCTGAGCCCTTCTCTGCCACCTCCTTGTCACTCTCTTTTCAGCCCTTCCTGCTCTCTGACTAGAACAGCAAGTCTCTTTGCTTTCCTCAGGCTCTCCTTCAAAGCATGTGCTACTCTGCTGATAAAGCAGCAATTCCATTGCAATGTCTTATCAATATTCCCTCATTCCCAAGTCTCAAATCTTTTCACGGCCCCCTGTGGTCTTCAGGAGAAAGTTCAAACTCCTGAGCAAAGCACAAAAGGTCTTTCTTTATCTCCCTGATACCTGTGGCTCTCCTTCTCCACTTGCTGTAATCGAACTAATGACCCATTTGTTATTTCTGAAATTTTTAGGGAACTTCAGGTCTCCTGCTTTCTCTACTTGCTCTTTCCTGCCTAGAAAGCCCCATCCTCTCTCACCCTCCACCTTCCACCTCCCATCCCCCATGCAGCCCCACTGCTCTGGAACTAACTCTAAGTTACCCCTCCGAGTCAATCTTCTCTAGGAAAATTTCTCTGGATCAACCATTTTTTAATGCCTCTCCTGCAGGCCCCGCAACAATCTGTGACTTTCCTAATACTTCATTGTGTGGGAAACACTTTTCTATCACCTAAGCTATGCCATATACCCTATTGCATGCACTAACTCATAAGATGATAAATGGCACGTATTACTTAAGAATAAATAATTGTTGCACAAAAGGAGTAATTCTAGGGGCGCAAATAGCACTGACTATTTAAAAGAACTCAGGGACAAACACCTAGTGCTCTGGTTCTGAACAGCAACGCCCCAGGCACACTGGTCACCATTCCTGAAAGGAGATTAGAATGCTATTTCTTGAGCTCAGATTTTTTACTATTTTAGTGCTGTGTCCTCAAAACTTAGACAAGTGCTAGGCATGGTAGGAGACCAATAAATACTTGCACAATGAATGAAGAATAAATGAGATACTCTTCCCAGAGGCACTCAGCTACTGCAGATTCAAGCTAGGAAACATTCTGTAGCATAGAATGTACCCCACTCCCTCTAAGATGTTCACAATAGCAGCAAACATTCACTGTGAGCTTTCTACATGCCAGGCACTGTTCTGGTGCTTATAGTGATCATTTCTTTTACTCCTAATCATAAACCCTTGAATATATTTTTTATAAAAGATACAAATATTTTTTAAAAAGAGTGAGAGCCACAATGCCCCAAGGTGGTCCAAATAAGAAAGAGAAGAGCTGGGCTTCCAATTCAGATGATCTGGCTCTAGAATCCCCTTTTTTCATGAAGAAAAATGGCCTATATCTCTCTTGGTTGGTGACATCCTTTGGCTGGTCAAATTGTTAGGGGGAAAGGATGTTCTGAGCTAATTCCATGCAGGCATTGTGGAC